TGTTGTGAGATGGTATCTCATTGTGGTTTTGATTTGCATTTCTCTAATGACCATTGATGATGAGCTTTTTTTTGGTCGCATCTATTGGGGAGGTTTTTTTTTTTCTTAATTTTTTAAAAAGAATTCTTTGTATATTTGGAAAATTAGTCCTTTGCCTTTAATAGGAGTTGAAAATATTTGTTTATCTTTTCACATTGCTTATGGATTTTAAAAAAATCAAAAAGAAATTTTAAAAATGTGCTACATCTTAAAATTTCCTATTTGCTCTTTTCCTTAGTTCTGGGAAATCCTTAGTTATTATGGGTTGTAAATCTGCTTTTCTTCTGTTTTTCCGTTTTGTCTCTTTCTGAGGCTCATCTCTGCCTTCATCTTCATAGAGTGTTGAACTCTGTCTTCTCTTCTTCCCTGTTAAGGACACTTGCGTTGGATTTAGGGCCTACCCTAACTCAGGATGCTCTCCTCTCTAGAACCTTAACTTAATCACAACAACAAACACTCTTTTTCTAAACAAGGTCACGTTCACATTTTCACATTCACAGGTTCCGGGTGACGCCTTTCAACCCACTTCAGCCATTCAACCTGCTACAATAACCCTATTTGATTGTTTATCTGACTTTTCCCTCCAGCGGTTGATGCCCCGAATTATAGCCCCAACATATTTGATCTGAATATTTAGTACTCTTGAAATGTATTTTTAAATTCCTCTCAAAAGGATAATTATTTTGTGCCTTCTGCTATACAAGGTGTGAGTGTTGTCAGCAATTTTCCATGACTCACTCCATTCTGGGACTTGCAATAGCAAGCAACTGAGAACTTCTAATACTACTTAATGTTTATTTCTTCTGCTCCATAAACTTTTGATTTTTTAAAAAAGTATGTCTATAGTAAGTCTCACTCCTGTTTTCGTATTCCAGCATAAGCAATATACCAAACTTAAACTTGGTGCTGTGTTAAATAGTAGCAATGGACATCAAAGACTTTCTTACGGTGTTTAAATTCAAGAGACAAGAGCTCCAAGTAGTGTTCCTAAGCATTGTCTATAGATCATGTGGCGGTAATGTCATTAGTATAGAACAGAAATGGGTGTATATGAGCTTTATGACTTCGGTCAAGTTTTATATTTTTCATTTAGTTACCTCCTAGAAAGTTTGAAATTTCAAAGATGTCAGCAAAAATATTGATTATGAATGGGTTTTAGGTTTATAATGATACATGATATTACGCATTTGCTAGTTCCACAGTCCCCCATTTCAAAATTGAGTATAAAAGCTGTCTGCAGAGTAGATTTATTCATACTGATTCTGTTTTCTAGCGCGAAATCCTTAAACACATCAAATAATGTGTAGACTGAATATATTAACTTGAGGTTGTAAACTATATTTTTAAGGTTACAGTTATAACTTTTTAAGTGTGATGAAATGTCTTCCTTTTTACTTTCCTCAATAAAATTTATCATTTCTCGTACTAAAGCTTTTATGACTGAGCAAATGACAGTCCTTTGGCTGAAACATTCCTGAATTGCAGTGAGTGTAATTCAGCCACTACCTTGGCCGTTCTTTATAAGCTACTCATGTTTGGGTTTCATTCTTTACTCGGAAACGGCACACTAACGTCACTGAGGTTGGTCGTTTGTGTAGTTTTCATTTCCCTGTTCTTTGGTTTATTTTAAATTCTTAGTCACTGCAAAGTTTGACAGCTTTGCTCATTAAAACGTAATAATTAAATATAGAAAATTAAAACTAGCTGGAAAGGATCTCGGTAATCACTCTAATTTTTTTTTTTTTTTTTGGTCTTAAAAATGAAGTTGAAGTCTACCTAGAAAAGTGAAGTGACTGTCACACAAACTGAATCATTTATTCCTTGTGGGGTTGCAGTTAAAACCCTGGACTCTGAATATAGCACCATTGTTACTTGCACTACTTTTCGTGTCTGTGAAGTTTCTAACGTCAGTCACTATATAAACATTTATTGAATATAAATAAATGAATGTGACTCTTTAATTTCAAAGCATAAATTATTTACTTGTTTTTATTTCTAAGATATACTCAAAATAAACTCAACCTCAAACTGTACTTAGCAATTAAGATTCTTATATTTATTACCAGGAGGAAAAATACTTAAAAAATAAGAGTGTTATTTTAGAGATTTCCAAAGATATTGCAGGATTATAAAGAATAAAATATAAATCAGCCAGGTGTGGTGGCTCACACCTGTAAACCCAGCACTTTGGGAGGCCGAGGCAGGCGGATCACCTGATGTCAGGAGTTCAAGACCATCCTGGCCAACCTGGTGAAACCCTGTCTCTACTAAAAATACAAAAATCAGCTGGGTATGGTGGTGGGCACTTATACTCCCAGCTCCTTGGGAGGCTGAGGCACAAGAATTGCTTGAACTCGGGAGGTGGAGATTACAGTGAGCTGAGATCGTGCCACTGTACTCTAGCCTGGGCGACAAGAGCAAGACTACGTCTCAAAAAAACAAACAAACAAACAAAAAAAACACCAAAACCCAAAAAGAATAAATTAATAGAAACCTCTTCAGTAAAATAGTGATCATTTTGATTTTTTTTTCCCAATTATTATTATTTTTGACTATGCAGAGATTCTTTTCCATCACGGATATCAGTTTTGGTGTTTGCTTTTTAAAAGCTTGTAAGCATTTTTCTCTTCAGGTCTCCTTTGAAAGAATCATTTTTATTGGAGGCATACAATTTTGTTGTTTGGATGTTTTATAATTTGTTTAACTCTTCTTCTTATAACTGACCTCTTTGGGAGTTTCTAATTTTTGTCTGTTATATGTCATGCTGACATAAAGTCGCTGGAAATACCTTCTGTCAGATTTGGTGAGTGTCCGCTCAGGATAGATACTGTTTGGGATAGCCAGGGTCATAGGCTGTTAGTATGCTCTGCCGGGCTGCTTGGCAAATCTTGCTTGAGACGTGAGCTTTGAGTTCCTATGTGAGTCTCAATTCTGTTTTGCCTGTGCTAAATAACTGCCAATTAAAAACAACAACAACAAATCCTTTGCGGTTTTGATTAGAGGAAATTGTATTTTAATCCAAATGTTTTTGATCACCATGTTTTCTCGGTCCCAATGATTGAACACTTATGTTTGCTTTAGTAACTAACAAACAGCTTTGTCGGGTGGCGGGGGGACAGAATACAGTCCAATAATATACTTGGATTGTAAGATACATCTGGATTTCAGAAAACATTTTTTAAAAAATTTGTTTATTTCGGTAGATTTTGGGGGAACAGGTGGTGTTAGGTTACATGAGTAAGTTCTTTAGTGGTGATTTCTGAGATTTTGGTGCACTCATCACCCGAGCAGTATACACTGTACCCAGTGTGTAGTCTTTTATCCCTCACCCACCTCCCACCCTTTCCTCAAAGTCCATTGTATCATTCTTATTCCTTTGCATTCTCTTAGCTTAACTCCTGCTTGTGAGTGAGAACATGACCATGTTTGGTTTTCCATTCTTGAGTTGACAGGTCAGAAAGCATTGAAATGAGGGAGGATGTGTGTCTCAGAACCAAGAAAACAGAATTTGAAACTTAATGGATACTCATTTAATATGTCATGCTTTTTCTAATTCCTCCTACCGTTCGTGAGGTAGATTTTATTCTTCCCATTTTAACAGTGATGGAACTCTGTTACTGAGAGGAGGTGTGACTCGCCTAAAATCAACATAACTTGAAAGTGATAGAGCTGGGGTCGAAACCCCAGGTATGTTTCACTTTAGGAATTCCTGAAAGAAAAGGCTCTGATATGCAGGGATTTTAAAACTTCACTTAGAGCAAAAGAAAATCAAATGTCAAATGGGTATTTTGTTTTAATACAAGGAATCCAAGTTTTTTTTTTAGACAAAATAATAATACCTAAAATCTTCTGACCCAGAGGTATGCTCCATTTACATTTTGTATACAAGAAGTGCTGTGTTGCATTGTCTCAAGAAACACCAGCTCACACTGTAGCCATTGTGAAGGGTGCCCCTGAAAGTTATGCAGTGCTGTGTGTGATGGAGAGTTTTCTGTCCCAAATGCCTGTAGTGTGCCTTGTGACCAACATTAGTGTATGTTGAAGAACTTTGCATTTGGAGTAGGAACTGCTGGGTTCAAAACCTGGGTCTGCCATTGGCTAGTGTAATCTTGGGCCCTTTACTTAACTCTTTTGTGCCTTGGTTTTCTCATTTTCCTTACCTTGATATTCTCACTCCCCAATTCGGATAACTAGCATTTTCACCTCATTCATGGATGCTCATTATTGATATTCAGGCTCCAAAAGCGACATAAAGTTACAAAACCTAGAGAGAGTGCCAGATAATATGAAGTCTCTTCTCAGGCAAGTCCGACTTTTGGGATAGGTGCAACTATGACTTCTTTGAGTCAGTTTTTGTTTTCAATTCATTTTTGATAAACATCGTCCTAAAGCGTGAGATATACTATGATTCAGCTACCTGTGTTTGTCTGTGAGTGCATGTGAAAAGCATATTTTTACACAAATGGACAGTAGATTTATATATTATTAAATTACAAATAATATTCAGCATTATTGAAATGATATCTAGAAGATACCTTGTTTCTTTATAAAGTCAGTATTTTACAGGATCATAGATTATGCATTTTTCTGCTAAGTTTCCAGTTGAAAAATGAGTATTCAACTTGCATAATTTGATTAATTATATAAATGTACATGGTATGGTATTCTTTAAGCTTATGTTGAACTTAGAGCTATTACATATCAACTTTTCTCTCAGTTTTGATTATGTGTGATACAAATAATTTAAATGGGACAAGATGCATGGGTAAACTACTTTAAATAGTTGGTTTCTCAGAGAAAGGGGAAGACACTCACTTTTTTTCAGCCATCTCAAACATTCTGGCTAATAAATGATGTCTTGGAATTCCTCATAGATTTAAACATAATAAGCTAAATTACTTTGATATTGGTAGTGTATATTAGGCAACTTATTATTATTATTATTTTTTGGTATTTTTTAGGATTCTGAGTAACAATAAGATATCCGAGCTGAAGAATGGCTCATTTTCTGGGTTAAGTCTCCTTGAAAGATTGTGAGTATTCTTTAATTATTATCTCATTATTATTTTGTTTAACACATTTTCATTGTAAATCTGTTACTAAACTCCCAACTATTCAAAATAAAAATTGAGTTTTTCTAACATTTTTTAATGAAAAATTTTAAGAATTTTATTTTAAAAAACAAGTATCTAAATTCTGTAAAGGGCCAGATAGTAAGTAAATTGGGTTTTCACAGCTGGCCACAAGTGACTCACCTCTGCCCTTGAAGTGTGAATGCAACCTTAGATAACACGCCAATGAGTATTGCATAAGACAGTACTTACGAATGATAAATGAATCGATGTGGATGTCTTCCAATAAATCTTTACTTATACCAGAGGTCATGGACCATACTTTGTTGACTTTGTTTAAGTGTGCTAGCTTAAAGCATCTATGCTGTCTTGAAATTCTGTATCTTGAAACATGTATGCTATGTTAGGCCATTCTTGTATTGCTGTAGAGAAATACCTGATACTGGGTAATTTATCAAGAAAAGAAGTTAAATTGGTTTACGATTCTGCAGGCTGTACAGGAAGCATGGAGCTGGCATCTGCTCGGCTTCTAAGGAGGCCTCAGGAAGCTTACAATCGTGGTGAAAGGCCAAGCTTGCATGTCACCATGGCGAAAACAGCAGCGAGGATGTGATGTCAAGGGGAAAATCACTTGTATAAACTTTGATATTTTATTCAGATGTCTTTGAATGTGATATGTTTGTAAATATATATTTTTCTTAGCAATTAGGTCTAGTTTTGCTTATGATATGTCACAGGTAGCACTCATATTTTTGCTTTGGTGAGTTTCAGACAATGGACATTTAATTTACTTGTATTCCGAATGCTATTCTGGGATCACATTTCAATTTCCCCTGTTAACTCATGCATTTAGGATAAAATTTCAAAATACATAAGGAAGCTACACTGTGAAACATCTCCGTTTCTGTGGAATAACACACTGTCCTCATTTTTCTTAATTCTCTTTGCTCAGCTTCACTTTCTCCATTTCTCTACGTGGCCTTTTCTTGACCCTTTTACCTAGAGGCTTCTCCTGTGATAGAACTCATGCAGGACTTCATTGCTTAGGTTCCTGATGTGTATGTAAATATATATGATCTAGCATTCTTCATTTCTTTATGCATGTCTCTGTTCTTTTCATTTAGATCAGATGTCTTTAAATTAGGTTATATACATGCATGCATATATATATATATAGACACACACACACAGAGGAATATTTTTAAATGTTCTTGGCACATTATTTCAATATTCCTACCATGTTCCATGTCGTCCATGTGCTTTAGAGTATGCTGATCACACCCTTGGTTCTAGGCCTGCCTAAGCTAAGGACGGTCCTTCATACACATTCGATGGTCACTATGGTTCAGGAAAGGACCTTTGGGACTATCAGGAAAGCAGACAGGAAGCCTGGGAGGACCCATCAAAGCATGACCGCCTTGGATCATTGTGTGAGACAGTACATTCCTATTATGTTTTCTGTTCCCTACAAAGAAAAGTTACTGGGTTGACAGATACCACTTGCATATAACACAGTGTCAGGCATTTAGTATGTGCTTAGTTGATAATGAAAGGCATTAGTATGGTCTTCCCTTTCCAAAAGAAAGGATGGCAGGCACTCCTAGTTTATAAATAGTGTCTGTTGTGTTTAGAAACACATTTTATTTTTGGCACCTAAGATTGATGTGGCTGTTCATGTACACCATAAAAAGTATAGACAGCACAGCTAATGTTCTGTGCTGTGGTGTGAATTACTACCCTTTTTGCATCTATTTCTTACTTTCCCTTGTCTTTGACCTTATTTTCAGCCATTTAAAGCTAACAAATCTCTGTACATGTTAGAAACAAATTAAGGAGCCATTTTGGGTGATACTAAAGTGCTGTGATTGTTTTTAGCCAGGGGTCTGTTTATTCACGAATCCCAAAATACTTCCTCACTCCTTTATTGGGACCACAGAGATCAATATACAGATAAGGGACTTTGAGAGACCGTTTTATGAGTGGGGGCTTCAGTGTGAAAACCCAGTGTTGACCCTGGGACCTGGGCCTCTTGTGTTAGGGAACATCTTTATCTACACTGGCCCTAAGCTCAGCATATCTGAAGTACACACACATCAAGGGCCAGACCTGAGTCCTGGCCTCAGTCTGGCAGTTGTGTGTGTGGGGGGGCATGCATGCCCAGTGGGGATGTGCCTCCCGTGCGGTTTTTGTGGGAGAGCAGCCCACTTTAGAAAGAAAGAAAAAGTGATGAAAGGGCTAGGCTCTTTTTTTCCCCCTGTTTATACTTTATTTTATTTTATTTTATTTTATTTTAAAGAGGTTTGTTACATGTCATGAGGGTTTGTTGTACCCATTATTTCATCACTCAGGTATTAAGCCCAGTACCCAAAAGTTATCTATTCTGCTTCTCTCCCTCTTCCCAGCCTCCCCCATCAAGTAGGTCCTAGCATCTCTTGTTTCCTTCTTTGTGTTCCTAAGTTCTTAACGTTTAGCTCCCCCTTATAAGTGGGAGCATAAGGTGTTTGGTTTTCTGTTCCTGTGTTAGTTTGCTAAGGATAATAAAGGCTGGGCTCTTAGCTGCTCTGCTCTGGCCCTGGGAGGGAGACACTCGGTGCTCCCTGCTCCTCCAGGGGAGCGGACTTTATTCCTTCAGCACTGACTGTTGCGTGCGTCTCTGCTTATGTCTTCTAAATGAAAGCCTGAGAGCATTCTTGGCTCCAGTACTGGCGTGGAAGCCACCCCACCCACCCACTCATGCTTTCAGCAGCCCTCAACCAGCGACTGAGAGCAGATGGTGGGTAACTACCCTGCCTGCCTCACCTGTCAGGTGGGGCCGCCCTGAGGTGCCTTCTCCACCGGCCTGAGAGTGCCCGGGGACTGAATCTCAGGTACCTCAGTGGTAAAGTCTTCAGCAGCTCACCTTGTTAGGCATCATTCTCTTTCTTGTCTCACTTCCCACTTTTCTACTGGTGCATTCTGGGGTCACCCCCCGAGTAAAACCATTATTTTCACCCTTGTCTGGGAGAATTCTACCTAAGAGATACAACCGGCCAAAGAACATGTTTGCCATTCAGATTTGCCTAGTCAGAGAGTCCTGAAGGTGAGAATAGAATAACCGGATGACTTGAAAATACAGCAGATAGGGTATGGTGTAAAAGATGGTTGGCAGAACAAGGAATTACTCACACCAAGGTCAGAACTTCAAAGCTGTGGCCTTGGAATTCCTGGAGCCAAGTCATACAGAATAAGGGTTAGGGTTTTGTAGGGTAGGGTGGGGAGAGTGGGCTGAGATAGTAAGAGCTGGCTCCGTTGAACTAATGAACATGACCCATCATTTGTTTCTGATCTTGCCCCATGTAGGAAGATAGCAGTGTGTGTGTGTTTTATTTTCATAGGAATATTTAGGTTGAGTTTTTTTTTTTCTTTTTTTTTAAATTTAGGAGCTTAGATTTGGGGTTTTATTTTTTATGACAAAGTAACTAAATCCCGATGGTGTCATGGAAGCTAGTTTTCTAGTTTTGGTTCACCTTTTGAAGGTAGTTTGCTTTATTTTAGGAGTCTAATGAGTGGATAACTGATGCAGATTTATTGTATCATATTAATTAAAATCATAAAAAGATAGTTGACTTAATATGAAGGTTTGGTACAAGTATTGCCTCAACAGATAATGAGCCTTTTCCATGTAGCCGATTTAAGTGTATTCAACAAGCATTTAAGGTGCTCACACTGTGCTAGGCTTGGGGTTTATGGAACATATGCAGTAATGGGGAGAAACATAGGATATATACAGTAAGCAAATCTCAAGTACTGTGGATAAAGAAAATGTGTAAGAGGATACTAAGTTTGGGAGTGCAGCACTGTGAATGTCTGGGAGTTTGTGATGGAATGGGATGAAATTTAGAAAGACTGAAGAGAGAGCCTTGCTCATGCTGGATGGGACGGTTTGGGATGGGGTAGAAGTAGGGAGCCATGTCAGGTCTCAGGTAATTTAAAGCTCATACTCTCTGTTTAGAGACCAGTGCCCTAGACTAGACCATGGTTATCAAACTTCATGAGTATTAGAATCCCCTGGGGTTTTGTGAAGGCACAGATTATGGTATCCTGTACCACACTGAACGTGGGATAGGTTGACTTTTGAGATGGCTGTTAGGCTTCCAGACGGAGACATTGAGTGAGAACTCATAGAAGTGGTACATTTGGTCTAGAGTTACAAATTTGAGTCTAGGGACTCAAAGCTGTAGGTGGTGATGAGATTGTTTAGGAGAAGGCATAGTGTGATAAGAAGAAGTGGGTGTGGGTCAAGCACCAGTTGGTCTGATAAATACAGTGAGGATTCATTCATTCAACAAAGTGATCGAGAGTTACCGTGTGTTGGACATTTTTCAAGTGAAGAAGACAAGTAGTGCACACTCTCTGCCTCGTGTAACTTACATTCTAGTGATTGAGAAAATAGACAATAAATGAAATGATTCAGACAAATAAAGAAGATGATAGATAGTGGTAAGTGCCATGGAGCAAAACCAGTCAGGAGGGGGCTCTCTGTGGGCTGAGGGTGTCCTTGGTTTTCAGTAGAGTGTGCAGGGACACCTCCTCCAGGAGGAAAGCACAGAACAGAGGGAGGTGAGGGAGAGAAGCTAGCAGACATCTACAGGAAGAGTATATAGGCCCTTCTGTCACATCAACCAAGGAGTCTTTCCCCCCACCCACCCAGGTAATTGATGTTTTGGATTCTCGATCCTATAGGCCCCATGGTGTTAGGCTGCTAAACTTGCATAGTAATTGTCTCTGTTGGCCTACTTGCTAAAAAACATTATTATTAAAAGATAGAATTACCTAAATTTATACTTCCTATACATTTTCTGCTTGGTTTTTTGGTAGATACGGTTTTTTTTAGATTGTTTTCAGCATTGAGACTTTTATATCCATCATCCATGCATTCACTAGTCTGTACCCTTCCTTCTTCCATCTGTTTTTTGTTTGTT